GCAGCACCGTTATGTACTTTCTGCCGTTTTACATTTCTCGATCGGCCATATACGTGCATTAGAATCCCCTTCTAACGTTCGGTTATTCAGAATTTTATTCAGGTCGGGCAGACTGGATTTTACTGGTCGTCTCATTGGCGTCGCTAGTCGGGCGAGATTATGAGGATTGTAAAATTCGTAATGGCTTTCGCGATTGCCTTCGACTTTACAGGAGTGCGGGATATTCCGGAGAGTGGCTTTAATGCGCCTCTTTGTCGCCAGGCCTTGATGAATCGGGAAGGATCGGGAGGATGGATTAGTCGATGACGTAACATCCTTGTAAGAGACTTTATGCTTTTAGAAAGGCATTTAACGCTCGGCACTCGGACAATATTCAGGACTTACGACGAGCTTACGCAGTTCACTTAATCAGGTTACGTTGTTGCGTTCGATTATGGATTAACTTTCTGCGTTTTCTTGTCAATAGCTTGGAATGGCGATGCAAAATTCTTTTAATTTTCATTCGCTCACATACGTGTCCACATCCAAATTAATACTCTTAATTAGTCCTTCGTATTAATAATAAAGTTGAAGAATTTTTGGCAATCTATCGGTCATTAATCTTTGACAATGATCTTTCAACATTAATCTTATCATTGGTAGGCAAGAATTTTACATAGTTCATGAGGATTAATATCCTTTGATGTAGCGCGAGAACAAAATTTCATTGAATTATTGAATTTAAGAATTGTAGTAACTAGTGATTTATTCAAAATAACGCGCAGCGAATATGTTTAGAAATTTGGCGAGTTGGCGTACAAACGGTCGATGACAAAATTAAGATGAAAATGAGGATTTAACGCGTGGAGAGGAGAGGCCAAAAATAATCGACTGGTCAATTGAGAAAATAATAGTGTTTAATAGAGTATCGATAAATAATACTGGCGATGAAGCATTAACCCGCATACGTTAAAGATATATGTATATATATATATATATATATATATATATATATATTCTATTTGTGAGAGAATAGTATAGTACGAAGTACAACTTTGCGTATAATAGTGATAATTTCCATGAAAAGTGACAAAGTTTAAAGTATAATTGTAGACCTTTGAATTGTTAATGAATAGACGATGGTTGGGAACTAGATCGTCCGAGCGGCATAATGTAAATGCGAAAATCACATGGGGGTGCTTGGATACATCGTCGTAAGCTTACAAGCTCACGTACGTGTACGTTCAAGGTGGTCACTTGATCATTATGCAAGTACCCGCTCGACGCTAGTAACTTCCTTGGCTTTTACCCACCTCGACAGCTATAAAAACATGAGTTTTCGATGCTTGGATATTGACCGCCAGCAGTTTATGCTCTATATATTCGTCGCGCCCGTGCTTCATAACTATTGGCAAGGCGAGCCGGCTGAATATGTCGAATGAATTAGCTTAAAAATTAGTTAAAGGAATAAATTGAATGTGATATTCAATTCGTCCGAATACTTCCTCTTTTTCATCGAAGACGAATGAAATGCGTAAAAATAGCTCTCCCATTATTCAATTGGCCATATTTTTCTCTAATAAATAAAATATTGAGTTTGTTCGGTCACTTTATGCCCTTTACCTTGTAGTATTCATGCAACATCGAGTCATTTCAAAATACTTGTCACCTGATATATGATATATTTATAACACGTGCAGCTGGCCTAGCGTATCTCGATAGTTTATCAGAATGAGTCACAATGCCGCTAATAGTCAACACTTTTTCATAATAAAGTCTAACAATGCACTTTGAATTCTCGTAGATACTCTTGGCCATGCAAATTTCGTAATTATTAGATTTTATAGCATTTGATACGAGGCAGAAGCCCCAATAACGCACAGACACAATATATACAGTCGAATAATAATGTTTAAGAGATTTTACGACAAGTTATTAAGTCAAGCTCTTACAAGTGGCTTATCGTGCCGAGATTGTGCCAATATCTTCGTAAAAATTGCCGATAATAAGCATAAAATCGTATTCAAGAAGAACATGCTGTTGCTAAGGAATCTATATTTGATTATTTGATTATTGCATGCAACGCTTCCAGCCGTAAGGCGATCGTGCTCATACGATCAAAGCAATTAAAAAAATATAATGAAGCGAGGCTGTGACTGTGAATCGAATGGCCCGATCCTTTTTTTTTGGAGGGAGGTGGGTAGGGACGGAAATAATTAAAAAAAAAAAAAAAAAAAAAAAAAAAAAAAAAAAAAAGAAAAAAAAAAAAAACGCACGACAACGAACCTTACACGAAACGTTAGCCTATCTATCGAGGTTAAACATTGAAATGCGGCGCACACGGCTGGTTGCTTGTTCTTTCTCGTTGACTAGCACCACGAAAAGTCGAGGAAGGAGACAGAACGAGGGACAATCGGAGCGTGTGCTTACATCCAAATACGCCGTTTAGCTCGTTAAAATTAATGATTACAGACCGAACGAGTTTTGTCGAGGAGGGCATGATCGGGCAATTTTCGTACTTTTCGTTGCTGCCCTTTGTCGGGGCTGCGGGACGAGCTTGCGGATTTCCGGTGACTCATTTGCTTAGTATCCGTGCCTTCGCCAACGTTGTGCAATATCGCTACATTAAAGAGTCGGTGCGTTTTATTATGTATTTATTGGCTATGCATTTACTTAATTGGCGGCAGCTTTTTACTTGACTAAAGTTCGTACGTGTTCAGCGCACGAATTTTATAGTAATCGTTTGTCATTTCGATAGCAAGTTGGTGTTAAACATCTGACATCGTTTCATCTGAAAATCAATCGATTCGTTGGATTGGTAAAGATTGGCCGGCTTACACTTCAAATTCACTTTTGCATTCGTCCCCTTACAAGTTACACAAAAGTCTTTGTTATTAATTGAACATTATTCGTTCTTTATGCTATTTATTTGCTTTATTTAAAATTTTAAACGTAATATGTTATCGTTACATTATGGTAAGCTGGACATTCTTAATTTTTTATGCAAATAGAAGCATAAATTTTTCTCGTTGCTAAGCTACCACACGGCACATTTTAATCACTCTATAACACTAAAATTTATTTTATAAAATTTCTTATTTTCTATTTATTAAAATTATTTCAAGTTCTTATTGTGTGTTTTATTCTATTTTCAAGCAATTTTAACAATATACGACTGATATAAATATATTTTCCTTTACTCCATGTGAGAAATATTATTTTCCAGATAATCTAGTAGATAAAATGGACATAACGTTGTTAAGTCAATTTGTTTAAAGTCAGGATTGGCAAATATTGAGACACTGAACTGAATAATCATAGCGAAAGTTCTTTTAAAACAATTTAAATAAGCTTTACAGATATCGATTAAATAAATAAAAAAAAAATTGTCTTATGGAAAATGTTTATCCATATTTTTAAACAGTACGCGGCAAATTATTCGGAAGATAAAAACTTTTAGATCAAAAAACTTTATAAATTGTATATAATTTTATGAAAAGATAAAAAATATAACCTACTTTTACAATTCAGTTTGAAAAATACACGTACATGAAATTTTATGATTTTGTATAAGCTTAATGTGTTTTATAGAGTATGAAATGTATATATATATATATATATATATATATATATATACATTTATTAATATAAGTGGATTTAGAAAGATTAATAATGTTTATTGAACTATTTATAATTCGAGTGAAATAATTTAGTCTTAAATTTATTAAATATTTATTCAAAACATATATTCTATCGTTTAAGAAGAAGATCTCTTGGTTCTGCTCCTTTTCAGGGAAAAAAATTACATTACATTAACCTAGAACCGTAATGAGATCTTATTATATTAGCATTAATTAAAATTACATTTTTTTTTTTTCAATGATTTATGATTTATGATATATATATATATATATATATATATATATATATTTATATCTGAATATTCTTGCGCATTAGTCAATTATTAGAAGAGATTTATAAATAGTGATAGCTAAATAAAAATAACAGGCAAAATATTATAAAACTCATTTTAAATATGTAATGTGTCATTTTCATTTCAAATTTGTTATAATACTATCTTGGACATGAAATAAGCAGTAATTGTAAATAATTATTTAATTTTCATCGTCGTTTCTCCCAATGATACAATCTTAAATATAAATACAATTTTTAATAAACAAATGATGTACAAATTAAATGTACAAGCGTCGTGGAAAATAAAAGATTAGAATCTCTAACGATAATTATTAATGATAATGATAAATTAATATGTAAATTGCTTCGTCGAACGAATTTCCAAGTAAGAAGAATATTTTTTTACAATTACAACATAAAATTATACGTATAATGATTTGCCCTGTATCGATAAAGACTGCTAGTCACATAGATTAAAGAAACTTATAAATTTAATTCAATCAAGTTTACCGAAGCTCCGGCGCCCTTTACTGCCAAAACGTCTTTTATCGACGAAACTTCCAAAGTTTCTCGTTTACTTTCTGGCAAACTACCCTACGGCAATATGCACATACACACGTATGTTGTTTGTCCAGTAGTAACCATTGTTTAGTGCAGTTCAACTAAGCTTAATACCAAATGGAAAGGAGCAATATCGTATATGAGCTACTTAAGAGAGCTTCGTAAGACATTCGTCGGACTTGTCCAAAGTTTCGAATGCGCGGAGCTTGATTTTACGTCCCTCTCGCCAGTCGCAACGACAGGCAAATACAAGTGTCGCTGACACGTCGACACGCTCGAATCGAGCTTTCGCCTCGGCCTCCGCAAAAAAAAAAAATGGCCGACCAAGCTTCGGCGACAGCAAATATCCCATCCAACGGACGACCCGACACGTACTTGCGCGCGCCCCCCCCCCCCCCCCGCGACCCCCCCCCCCCCCGACCGGCCCACCACGCTATCGCTCACTGGATTCCTCTCCCACCATCACCAATCACCCCAACCCACCGGGGACGCTCCATGGAAGGAGACTGGTCAAGGGTCAAACAAAGAATAATTTTGGGACGTACAGGTGGTGGCTGGCGCGCCTGTGCAGGTGCCTCAGCTGCGAGGAGGTGAGGACGGGCATGCAGACGGAGCGCGACCTGTCCCTCACGATCCTGATGCTGGGTATGCCCTCGTCGTCGCTGCAGTCGCGGTCGTCGCTCACGGGACTGAGGGTGCCGCCGCTGCCGCGGCGCGGGCCCTTCTTCTGATGGCCCCCGGGTCCCGAGAGGCCGTTACTCGAGCCGGAGCCCGAGGAGTGGCCCCGCAGCCGCGATACCAGCTTCATGTCCAGACACAGCATGACCGGGCCCACCTTCCGTCCGCGAACCGCGTCTTCTCCAATTGACACGGGGCCGCTACTCCCAACTCACCTCGGAAATGATTTTTTGCTTATTCCCGTGACTCTGGTGCGGCTCTATAGACATCGTCCGCCACTGGGCGGATCCACCGCTCCTGGCCTCGGCTCTTCTTATATACCGGAGCTCGGGACTCGAAGATAATCGGCGCTTTTCTATGGGAATTCGGTGACGGGATGCGTAGCTTCTGGAATTTGCAAGCAAACGCCCAGTAGAATGTGCTTGCTCGTCTCTAAAATTGAATTTTAATAGCGAATGTGATGGGAGGAACTCGTGAAGAAAGACGATTTTATCGTTCATTTAAATGCTGTCGCGCGAGCTTACGTTTAATCTCTCGCGCGTTAACGCGATTTTTACGAGATAATTGCTAAGCAAATATTTAATCGGGAAGTTTTATCCGCAACGCGTTATGATAATCATTAATATCATTTATCTCTTATCAGGAGGCGATCGAGCTTATTAACATTTTACATTGTTGTGAAATTTCGAAATGCTCGCTTCGAAAAGCTCACTTATGACTTATGACTCTTAATCTTACGATAATCGACGGCCAGTTCGCTTTATTCCCTGTTCTTTAATTTCTGATATAGTAACATTTATTTTGGTACGAAATATCGTTTTCGTTCTCTTTAAATACCTTGATTTTCTAGCTCCTCACTTATGAAATTGCAAGTATTTATGAAGTATCGTAATGTTTTTTTGTTGTTTTTTTTTTTTTGTTTTTCTTTCGTTGTCGTTATAATGTACGTGTAGATTTCTCGAATGCGCATAATATAATTGTAAATATCTTCATAATGTTTGAGGTGCAATTGTTATAATAGCATTAAATATATTGAATTTCATATCGGAATTTTGAAGAAGGATTTTAGCATTTGCAAGCACGTAATCTCATACAAAACATAGAAAATGTCAGCGATCGTTTATTAGATAGCGATTATTTATTGAAATGAAATAATTTTCTATGATTATGAGAAACAGAAACAAAAAAAAAAAAAAAAACCTATAAACTTACTATAATAGTTGCCAATGGCATAGAATCGCTTTGTACTTAAAAAATATCTCGTATATTATTTAATATCTAAAAATATCTTTTAAGAAGTTATGGAATAATATCTTATAGTGGATGAGCTATTATTTTTCTCTCTTTAAAAACCAAGTGAAGGCAGTAAGCTTATAATGAATTAAAATAATGTTTTTAATGTTGATTTAAACATAAGGACACAGTACAAATGGTGCACTTTAATAAGTCGGCGTAGTTACGAAAAATTCAGTAAAAATACTTTTCATTCTTAGCCGTCGGTTAATTAAGAAACTTTTTTCAAGCTATTTTTTTTTTATTAGACACCGAAAATATCTCGACTAATTTCTTTTCTTCGTCTTTATGGTGTAATTTTGTCCTCAGCATGAAGCGCGCGAACGCTTACCTTCTTCCTCATTATTACGACCTATTCATCACATTTCTTTTAGCTGAAACTTTACAAGGCAGTATAGTAATTGATAAAATAATAGATTTCCATGTGTCGACTTTAGAATACTTCGTTTTCTTTTCTTCAATCACAATGGAAAATTTTCCCCGTTTTGTAAGCCTTATAAAACTTTGAAACAAAAAAAAAAAAAAAGACATGAAAACTTGGTAATGAGAAGCTCGTGCCAACCAACGGAAAGTCAAGAATATTTCTGTTTACTAATGTCGTTTCCTTCATTTTTCCATTAATCGTAACCTCGAAACCTCCTTCTCATTAACCGCACCTCTATCTCTCTATCTCTTACGTATGAGCTGATTATGCTTTAGGCGTCTCGACGACTCCGATCATCACCATCGATGTATTTGGTACGGGTGTTAAGTAAGTATTCCGTACTATCGCCTTAAAAATTTCAATTTCTTACGACTCATCTGCGAGCTTAGGTCTCGAGTATCCGCAGTTATGCGCCCGGAGTAAGCTTTTTAACCTAAATGAAAAAAGCTCGTAGCCCCAAGCTAGATATACGGCTTTACATATCGCCATTTCTTTTTCACTTTTCTCCCGCTTCTTCTTGTTCTGTGCGCCATGAAACGCGAAAGATGCTCTTTCGTACCGCCCTTCGTTTAGTTTTGTTTTTAACTTTCTCGCGAGCTACTGATGCTCTTGAAACAAAACATCTTCTTCATTTTATGAAAACCGTATGATTGAGATATCGAATATTTGATGTTACCATTAAGGCTTAGGATCGTTTTATGATATTACTTGTATGGGTACATCCGATCATATCCTGACATTTAGACTCTTTATGAAAGAAATGCTTTATTCGCTAATATATAACCACTAGAATGAGAAATTCAATTTCATTTAACTTGGCCTTGGATAGAGTGCTATTATCAAATGATAATAGAGAGTCATTTTGTCAGCGAATAGGAGAAATATATGATTGAACATACTGAATACTAAGAATTACTATGATTATAATAGTTTGATGAGAATATTGAATACATTGGTGTTTGGAAAAGCTTTTTATCGTTTGACGTAATTGAATGATTCAAAGAAAAATATTATATGAAAAATATGTACAATGTTTAGCATATTACTATATAATAGGTGACTCGCAAGTCTAAAAAGACGAAATACAAAATTCATTTATTTAGCCGATAAAGCTGCACACCTTTCAAATTGTAAGAAACTAATAAGTTTCACGAGCGCGTCATTTAGTCATATCTTTTGATATACATAAATTATAAGACGAAGTCATATGACAAATGTTGCGACCTACGCAATATATAGAAAAAAAAAAAAGTACTTCCCAGACAAAAAGCGAGAAGAGAGAGAGGATAATAGTTTGCAAAGACGTTCGAATTAATTTCAATGGGGTGCGAAACTCTTTAGTGCCATATTGGCTTGAAGAAACGCTCCTTGTCTCACCTTTCATTAATGGTGGTCTGCGGAAAATGCGAGCTGCCACGCTCATTTAACTTAAGCAGATTCAAATGTTTGTTGCTCTTATTTTTGGAAAGAAAAACTATGTTTCTAGTTTTGTTTTGTATTATTATGATTATTAATAACACGTAATTTACACATACATTAAATATAGATAGCTAGTTGACCTATTATTTTCAGTAATATTGATTTTATTGTATTAACAAAATACGTTTTTATTGTTATTGCTAATGAAGTTTGTGCTAAGTAATATGTCGATTAAGGAATAGTTGAAATGAAAAATACAATGAATGGAAAATGTTGCAAATAAGCAAGCTATCGAAGATTTTTTATTGCTGCGCTTTAGCTTAATTATGTTAAATATAATATGAACACGATCAAAAACATTAGTGATATTGAAAGAATTAGATAAAAGAAAAAGAAAATTTACTCTATACATAATATACGTTGAAAGTTATTAAATGAAAATAATTAAATTTTATTTATTCTTTTGAGAGCTCTGAATATTTATATTATTGTAATAAATGTATTTAAAATCAAAATAAAAATTAATATTTCTGCCAGAATGAACTGACGCGTACATTTACAGAATTGAATAAATGCGTTTTAGTTTTTCAAAAGCAAAAGAAAAAAAATTATTCGATATATATATATATATATATATAATAGATTGTTAAAGAGGAAAGAGTATTAAAAACAAACAAAAAGGATGCAACAGGATGTACTTTATCAATGTTCTTAGATAAAATACAAAACAATGATTAAAATGGCATGATAATTGTAAACAAATTGTACTTATTAAGATAGTGCATTCTTATCAAGAAAAGAAAAACTTGAAATGTAAATTAATTTAACGGGTAATCCGAGGGAGATTATCGAGGTCATCGATGTCCGATTAATTTTCAGCAGTTGAAACATTCTCATGGTTTCTTAATTAACCGACTGTTCTCATGAACATCTTCTGTATTCTATATTAACCAACTATCTTAGCCAAATATTCGATATTCCTATGCCAGGAGTAAATACACGTTACGTGGATGTTCTTGCCGCGTAAAGTTCCTTATCCGAATGAAATACTCCGTGTATATGTCTACTTTTATATATGTACCCATCCATCTACTTGTGCAGATTGAGGATTCATATGCGATCACGTACGTACACACGTCAGTCAATGATTTACCTAAGCGGAACACGCAATTGCAAGTGCTTCCTCTCTATCTTCATCACTACGTTTTCAATTGATATTCGCCTGGCGTATACTGACGAGTGACATACTGAAAAATGAAGCGGCAAAAGAGAGAGAGAGAGAGAGAGAGAGAGAGAGAGAGAGAGAGAGAGTGAGAGAGATGTTGGATGAACGATTAGGAAAGGTTCATGTGACAGTGGTCACGAGGATGCGCTCCGTTCAATGAAAGTCGCTACTGGCGTTCGTGCTGCGTCGACATCTCCGTAATCTCCGTCTCTTTTCGTCTTTCTCTCTCTCTCTCTCTCTCTCTCTCTCTCTCTCTCTATCTATCTATATATTTAGCATCAATTCTGTCACCAACGTCGAGTCATATAAACGAAAACACGGACAAAAATGTATCGGACTCGTTGACCGTGTTTCATTTTTATATTTTAATACTATCGCATTCTGATCAGAGGCACAATGTTTGTCAATTAATTATTATGGATAAGAAAATCTTGTTTTTCTTTTTTTTCTCCTTTTTTCTGTTTTTTTTTTTTTTAATTCTTCGAACGTATAGCACGGTTCATTAATAACTCAATAATTATGATCTCTCAACTTGTATTATATCGTGGACATTTTACGTAATACTATAACAAATAAATATGTAACTAGACATAACATTGCTGTTATATATATATATATATATATATATATATAATAGTTATATTGTATATACTATGTCTATATTAATTACATATACATTGTATATTGTATTGATTTTTTTAATGAGAAAATTAAGTTACAAAATTGTATGAGCATAATTATTGAAATTCAAATTTTTTAATTTATTCCCTATGGTACGAGGTTCTAAATTTTTTTTTC